AACAACCAAAAACACGCCTGTCTTTCTAGTTTTAAAAAGCACTGAAGACATTTTGCATTATCAATAAAAGAAAAGGAGGGTTTGGGTTCCACCATAACAGAATATATTATGCCAAGATAAATTCATGCGACTGGAGTCTGGGAACCAGTTTGGCAACTACAGGAAACAAGTACTGGGCGCAGTTGTACCTTCATTTACAACAATCTGAATCTGGACACCATGAGCATAACCCTACTACAAACTGAGGTTTATACAAAGGTTGTTTCACCCTGAAACAAGCCAGAGTGGACAGATTCTCATGACACAGCAATCTCCTGCATTCTTACAATATGTCTGCATACCACTCCATGGTTTTAAATGATCCCTGTGAAGTCATCATACATATTCTCACAAAAGGATTCCCTCGTTTTAGGGAAATGAGAGATGCCTCATTTAAGATGTCAGGTAACATTTTTATAAGTATTTCATCCATTACTATCAGGTATCAAATGTTGTTACCCTAAGAACTGCCCCCGCACACATTTCTCCCTCCAAAGCAGGGCTCATCCTCATCCTCACCTTTTTCTCATGATATGAGAAATCTAAAACATTCACTGCACAACACTATCCAAGTTTGAACAGAAAGCCAACAGCTCCCAGCACACCCCAGCCAGTGATGCTCAGTGGCTTCACTGTGGCCTCAGGACATTTATTTATTATTTATTTAAAGTTTTTATATGCCGTCCCCATTGCTACACAGCCTCGGGACGGCTCACAACACAAAATCAGCATTAACAACAAATAATAAACCTACACAATATTGTTATTTAAAATGTGACCAGTGCTCACCATAAGCTTCCTCAACAACTCCCTCCCCATGATATGAACACTCTACCGGTACTTTTTAAAATTCTAAATCAAGTTTAGCTAGGGCAAAACCCTACACATTTCCACAAAAGTCTTACAACAACCCAGCCATTCCATTTTAGCAATATAAAGTGCTACCATGAAACTTTAAAGCTGCAATCCTGTACTTACTCAGGTGGGCACAGGCCCCAATAAACTCAGTGAGACCCTACTTTCAGGAGGTATGCATAGTGTTACACCGTAAAAAAGCCTCTAGGAAACTAATATTTGGTATGAATTTGTTCATGTATTTGCTCTGTATCATGCGTCCTCCAACCAGCTCAGGACTGATTAGGGCCACTTCCCCCTGCAAATCTTTACAGTATTTGCCAAACGGTACACAATTGCTCTCTCCATTAAAAAGCTCCCAAAGAAACTAGTATTACCAACAAATGGTACACAAGGTTGCTATTAAAAATATGTTATGACAACATTGTTCAAGCTCCCAAAACAACTAGTATATAAAGGGCAAATATTTCTACTGTAGCTGTTACCGTTACTATCCCAACAACCATTCCAAATTTTATTATGCTATGTAGTCATTATATCATTTATTATTAACCATCAACTAATACTACTTCTCAATAACCAATATGCTGGTTAATAATTATTTATCAGCATTTATTATATTTATATCCTGCCATTTTCCTTGAAGTGGCTTCATTATTCTCCTCCTGCTGCTCTAAGTCCTATCCCCACAACAACCCTGTGAGGGAGGCTGAGATGAGAGTCTATGATTGGCCCAAAGTCACCCAGTTGGCTCCATAATGAATAATGCCAGTTAGTAAAGTGAATATTTGTACACAGTAATTAGTATCAGCTCAATAGAAATAATCATGCTCACTGAAAGCAAAAAATAGAATGTTAGTAATGATTACTAGCAATACTAGTTACCACTAGCTATGCCTAATATTAAGCCTTCATAGGAAGTATCACAACAACAAAATAACGTGAGCTATAGCCAAGAACAAATACTAGCTCCTCACAAACATTAACTCTCGATAAAAAGCTAACGTTAATAGGCCCGAACACAAGTTAATGGTAACCAATGACGCCGAATGGCAACTAACACCAGTAAATAACTACCTAGCGCAAGTTTCTCCTAAGAAACATTAGTTCTTAACACCAAGTCCCGGGGACGGACAGCAAGGAAAAACAGGAGCCTTTATTAACCGCGCTATTAATCCGGATTAGGGCCCGTCCGTCATGCGAGGCCGAGGCAGCGCGGAACGGCCCAAGGCGGCGATCCACACCATTTGCTCGGCAACGCGTGGATTCCCGGGAGCCCCACGCGAGAGCGGCGCGATCAACCCGGGCCCGCTCCGTCGGCGCGAAGCGGACCCGCAAGAGCCACGCGCGGGGCGGGCGGCGGCGGCGCGGCGAGGGTCGCCCCCCTCCCC